GTTGAGTGTGAAGTGGTCAGGATGAGAGTCAGCACCTCCAAGTCTGAAGTCATGATTTTCTGCTGGAAAACGTTGGATTGCTCTCCCTGAGTTCGGAGAGAGATGTTGTCCTAAGTGACAGAGTTTAAGTATCTCGAGCCTTGTTCACCAGTGAGGGTAAAATGGAGCGTCAGGCAGATTGGTTTAGTGTCAGCAGTCATGCAGGCGTTGTACCAGACCGCTGTGGTGAAGAGGGACCTGAGCCTGAAGGCAAATTGGATATATGGAATTGTTTCAACTCGTCTCTGGTCGGCACAGCGTCGGCATGCTGTTCAGAATGCAAACTTAAGGATAATATGGAGATGAATTAAAGTGAAATTCATTTCATTTGGAGAAGTATTTTTGTTTGAGCAGCTTATAACAGCTCAGAACAGGAAGTGCTGTATTTTTTACATGATAGTTGCTTTTAGTGAATTTTTCACTATCTGACTGAACACAGACCCACTGTGACCTCGCAAATGTCAGGAAAGAAATACAACCTCTAAAATAAGTGAAAGAATGTTAAATTAACTTTAAATACATAATTTATATATTAAAACATTTTATTTAGCCAAATGTTGGAATGTATCTGTTAGACATGCTGAAGTTCAAATGTGACATGTTACGAATTTTATCCTTACTGAGGATCCTGCAGGTGGTTTCTCTCTGATGTGGATTTGCTGCTCCTGTGAATCCTCCCCCAGTGTTTCATTAGCAGCTGGAACCACAGTGACTCTGATAAAACAGGAATTAGCAGAATCCATCTGATATGAAGCTGTGGTTTGAATACCACTTCCCTCCTCTTTGAAGAGTAGTCAGATATCTGGGTTCAGGTTTTTGTACAGCCTCTTCTACACTTTGTATCACTGTGTTTGTAGAGCACAGTAGTAGAGAGCTGTGTCTGCCAGGGTTAGATCTCTGATGGTCAGTGTAGTTGATGTTGCTGATGTTTCAGATTCATATCTTCTATCAGGAATATGTTCATCTGTGTTATCTTTTGCTCCTTTCCAGAGTATAAACTGAGGTGCCTGAAGGTCAGAATGATGTTTGTACCAGTAAAGGGAAGGATAACTGTATGTTGTCTGATAGTTGCATGTGAGTGTGACAGATTGTCCTTCTCTTTCACTGACTTCCTCTTGTACAGGAGAGATTGTGTCTCCAGCTATTAGTCCTGGAAAAAGTAGAGCAAATGAAGCCATTAGACTAACATTGTTCATGAGGCTGAGAGGAGAAGACAGTGGAAAATGGCAGCTGTACAGTGTTACTCTGTGGACACAAACAGCTCAGCTGTTTCCATAAATCTTTAGAAAAGAATAAAAAGATGTTGTGCTTTCTATCTTACCAAAGAAAAGAGCAGCAAGAATAATCCCCAGCCAATGTTCCATCTCTACAACAAGGTTTAAATCAACAGGAGAAACTAGCTGATGTTCAACATTCAGTCTGAGAATTGTTCTCTTCACAGCAGCAGTTATTATTGACAGAATGGTTGAACACAGTGCAGAAGTAGTGCACCGCCTACTTGATAATGTGGCTCAGCTTGGATTAACAGCAGCTACAGTGTCATCTAGTGGCCAATCAGAATCAGACCACAGAAGAAGAAAAGATGCCACTGAAACTTCAGACTAGTCCAGCAGCATAATCCAGTTGTCAGCTGATGATCTGTTTGTTCAGCATTTTCCAAACTCAACATAGTTAAAGACTCTACTTCTGTGCTGCGTTATCACCTCCCCACATCTCTGAAGTTGTGGATTTACAGCAGCAATTAACAAAGTGATGCTACAAACTGTTGAGTCACCTTTCAAGCTTACAGGTGGAGAGGATTTGATAGTGAAACGAGACATTTTCACTGGAATATTCCTTCAGACTAACAAAACCCACATCTGGATGCTGAGATCTGGAGGTGGGCAGTGAGTTTGGGGCAGCCGTGGCTCAGGAAGTGGAGGAAGTCAAAGGGTTGGTGGTTCAGTCCCCAGCTCCTCCTGTCCACATGCTGAAGTGTCCTTGAACAAGACTCTGAACCTGCTGCAGCTCCACCACCATCAGTGAGAGAGAGTGTGTCTGTTTGTCTGATGGAGAGAATCACTATGAAAGGCCTTGGTATAAAGAGCGTTCTGTAAATGCAGCGTATTTAGTGTTTAGAGGAAATTTGATGTTTGATGATGTCTTTATTCTTCAGAAGACAAAGAAATCATGTTTTTTTTTATTAACAGTGCAATGAATCCAGACTGCATCATAAAGCACTGAAGTTTAACAGTGTGTGACTCCCTCTAGTGGACGTTGTGGAGTATTCTGTTGTCTTTGCTCCAAAGGTTTTTGTACAGAGTTTTGGTGTTTCCTGTTACTGTGGGCCTCACAGCACAGTAGTACACAGCAGAGTCTGTCACTGCAGCAGAGGAGATCTGCAGATCCATTTGGGTTTTATCATCACTCACTTTAACAGACCATCTAGAGTTTGTTGCATTTTGTGTTCCCAAGTGAAAGATGAGGAACTCTGGTGGTTTTCCTTGATGTTGTCGATACCAGAAGAAATAATCAAAACCATCAGCTTTTTTAGAGTATGTGTAGGACAGAGTAACAGAGCTGCCTTCTGAACTGAACTCTTCATTCCTGACTGCAGTGAGTTCTTCACAGCTGACACCTGAAGGAAGAGATAACTCTGTTATTTCATGTTGTAAAAGACTCAACAAATGAATCCCATCCAGAAAAGTTAGTAATGAAACTTTCTCAGCAGGATCTCACATACCTGTTAGAATGGATAGTAACAGTAGAGAAAGTACATAATAGTCCAATGACAGCATGTTGAATAAAGGGAATGTTTCTGCTTTGTGTATTGAACTCTGCTGAATATGGAAGTTCCTCTCTCTTCTATAGTTCACTAACAGCTTAGCTCCTCCCTCAATCTCTCCGTCTCCTCGCAGCTCTGGATTTTCACTTCCTCCTGTTAACAGACTGGTAGCAGCAGGTTGTACAATCTTTTATAAGCATAGTTCAAAGATGGATCATCTTTTCAGGATTTGCAAACACAAGGACTCAATTGAAGTCAGCTGATAACTGAACAAAACCTCACTACAGAATCTTGTATCCAGAGTATTTATGCTGAACATCAGTGAGCATCTTAGCAAAGTTTGATTTCAAGTGGTTGACAGGATTTGAGGGGCCAATAAAAGGATCTCACTTCTAGACTCACTCAGTTGTAGGAAGGTCCGGAACAAGTGCACTTCACATGTAATGAACCAGCTGCCATGATTATTGTATTTGAATATGATGCCGTATCTGTACAAACATCTTGATCAACACCATGAAGTCCAAGTTGACAAAGGAAGTGCAGTCGTCGTTGTAATCTGCTACAGAGACTGTCCACATGGATGTTCCAGGCTAGGTTGGTTATTAGTCAAAATTATAAAGGCAACCCTTTTGTTCTTGCCCCCATTCAATATGAGCTGAACTCAAAGATCTAAGACTTTCTCTATGTACACAAAAGGCCTCTTTCTCTCATATATTGTTCACAAATCTGTCAGAATCTGTGTAAATGAGTACTTCTCCTTTGCCGAGATAATCCATCCACCTCACAGGTGTAGCATATCAAGATGCTGAGCAGACAGCATGGGGATTGCACAGGTGGGCCTTAGGCTGGCCACAATAAAAGGCCACAAGAGAGCCCGTGGTCAGGGCGGCGTCTGGCCGCAGCGTATAGGTGGCAGCTGCTGTTACGAGGAGAGCCCCATGTAACGTTAGGAGGAGGCTAACTTAGTCGGGGAGACCCAGGTAGGGATCGGTTGCGTAGTTGGTGCTATTTGAACATGTTTTCTATCAAACATCAAATTCCGATTTAGTCTTAGTCTTTTGAATAACACACCATTTAGTTTTAGTCACATTTTAGTCTATCTGAAATCTTTTAGTCTTAGTCTAGTTTAGTCAACTAAATATCATAAGAGTTTTAGTCTTAGTCTAGTCTTAAGTCTTTTAGTCTTAGTCGAGTTTTAGTAGACCAAATATTAGCAGATTTTAGTCGACTAAATCTACAGTGGAGTGGACTTCCTGTCATTGGAAGTATCCATCAGTCTGTTATGAAATGGTATTAAGGTTTGAATATGCAATACAGACACAGATTAAATTTTTATTTAATTCTTGATGTCAAAAACACTGACCGTGTTTTTTTTCACAAAAGATAATCTCACAT